TTAAGCCTGATTGAATGCACTCAGTTCAATTGTCTGCAGTTTATTTGTTTTTCCTATTATTTTTAACAACATGATCAGATACACATCTACTGAGTATCCACAGGCTAAGCTATTTGCTTCATAGTATTTTTAAATCTATTTTTGGCATTTAGATCACATTTTTTTCATGAGACTTTAGTGCCGTGGGTTCTTGGGCTCCCCCCTCATTTTATCACAACAAATATTGCCTTGTGATGTTAATTGAACTGAAAGAGAAAATAATCAAAATCCAAAATAATCCAGTTAGCCGTAGGGATATCTAGGGACTTAGGTTTTTCTGACCCAGGTTCAATCATTTAGCAACTTCACTGATTTTTCTTTGCTGAATTTATAAAGAGTCTAAAAAGGTCATTTCAATAATTAAATGTCCAGACTGGGAGGTTTTTTTTAGGGGATAAAACTTTGAGTCCAATGATTAATCCAAGTAAATTGAAATTCAATAGCAATTCCATTGAGAATCAATTTAAATGATTGCCACTGGGATTATAGTTTTAGAGTTCATGGAAAAGTGTCTACTTTGAAATACTTCCAGAAAAAAATACTCACTTTTCTCATTCTATTACTTGTGACCCTTAAGTTGTTGACATCTGGGACTAAACTTGGCTTCTTAAATAGTGTAGAACATATTTAGATCACTTGCGAGATCTATATCCTTCTAAAGCAGTCTATAAGACAAAACATGAATAATACATTACTCAAATAATAAAAACTACTTCAGTACCATCAATACTGAAATCAGAAAGCTTATAAAACACCACTGAGATTTGCAAAATAATGCCTGTAAAGTAAAAAGGTAAAGGTTCCCCTCGCACATATGTGCTAGTCATTCCTGACTCTAGGGGGTGGTGTTCATCTCCATTTCAAAGCCAAAGAGCCAGCACTGTCCTAAAACATCTCTGTGTTTAAAAAATGTATATTCAATTTTGTTAAAGTCGTCATGACTGGGAGAGACGCGGGAACAAGGTCAGCCAATGAATAGGCATAGCAACTAAGTCAGCCAACAGGAGCTTAAACAGATCTGAGTCTGTGCAGAGAATTGAAACAGAAACTTAAGCAGTCTGCTGCCCTGAAAAGTAAACCAGCAGTCAGTCTGGACTTGTCTGCTGAAATGAAACTAGCTGATTGTGTTTGCCTGTAACTCTCCTGACTTGTGTTTATTTGGAAGAACCACCTCTTGGTATTGTACATTTATTCATCTATTCTTATGTATATAAAGAAGTTGATGAGTCCTGCTGAATCAGTTATCTGTATGTGCTTTCTGGATTTGATTTTTCTGCAACAAACTCTGATAAATTTAGATGAGAAATCTGTAGATATTCAATGAAGGGTACCTGATTGGCTAACAATAACTAGGAAAAAGATCTTGGGATTATACATGGTGAATGTACAATGCGGAAAAATAAAGGCAAACATAAATTTGGGCTGCATTATGCCACTCTTCCAGTCTCAGGAAATAATAGTCCCATTGTTTCTATACTGACAGTCTTCATCTCAAGTGGATTGGTAGTTCTGAGCATCCTGTATTTATGAAAATTGAGGAAGCTGAAATATACTCAGAGAATAACAATAAGGATTAGGAACCAATTGCAGTGTTTTGAGAAAAGGGATTATGATTATTGAGAAAACTGAGCAGAAAAAACGATATCATCTTACTCTTCAAATTCCTTCTGATATGGCTCAGAAGGAAACCAACTCCTGTCCTTTATTTCTCAGAAAGCCAGACACGGAATAATGAATTTAAGTTACAGGAAGGTAGAATCTGAGTGAATGTTGGGAACAAAGTCCTAATAGTAAGAACAGTTCAATAAAAGACCCATATATTCAGATGGGTGACAGGTTCATTGGATGTGTACAAGCAGAAGCTAGACTGCCATTCATCATTCTCGTATAGCAATGTTTTTCAATCTTGGCAAATTTAAAAAAAGGTGGACTTCAACTACCAGAATTCCCCAGCCAGCACGGATAAAGAGTCTTTGATAGACTTCTAAAAAATTGTCATAGCAGAAGTTTCATAAAATTCTATGGGTTCCATCTGTGATCAGAGTTATATATTTAGTAAATTTATATGGCCGCTCAGGTGGCGCAGTGATTAGGGTGCAGTACTGCAGGCCACTTCAGCTGACTGTTATCTGCAGTTTAGCGGTTCTAATCTCACCGGTCCAGACTGTGGGGGCGATATGCTG